GGTAAAGGTTTTGTGTCATCAGAAGGGGGAATGTTTTTTTTTCTTGAAGGAAAGGGGCTTCTTTGGTCAGGTTATCCAAAGTGGGGAAGACAATTACATTATTTTCTGAAACCAAGGGGAAGTGTTCCCATTTCGGCCTTCTGTCCACTTGACCAATGACTGAATTGTTCACAGTCAATATCCAAGTGCAGGGCTTGAACTAAATGCGTCTATTCTGCAAACAGAGAGCGAAGAGAGGTCGGAGTGACTGTAGTCCCCGACAAAGTTGATAGACCCGCCAGAATAAATGCCGGCTCGCTGCGAGAGCAACCTCCGCAAATATTAAGGGGAGTGGCATTTATTTTCGTCTGCTGGGAAGGGGGGGGGGAAAGACTATGTACTATCGCATGTAAACAAGCCACACTCTAGTAGCAGGGGTGGATTCAGGTTTGGCAGTGGAAGGAAGGTGTTCATACAAATCTATTCTTGTTTTTCACACAGTGTCATATTTTTTGAAAGTCCGGGGGGGAGGGGGAGGGGAGGGGAGACCCCCTAGCCCCACCTCCACTCTGCCAAAATTTCATGCAATGTATGTCCATTGCTTGATTGCTTAGTGGCTACTTTAATAGGCCCTGCACATCCATGTTTTGAGCGATATTTTTGCTCGGGTGCTTTGTGGAACTGTGCCCAGTAAATTCACATTTTCAGATGCTGCAAGAGCTGTCGTGTTTATGGGGCACTGAACGGGTCCGCGCGCCTGTTTTCTTTTCTTCAACCAAATACCATTACTCAAGAATTCCCTCCATTAACTGTCGCGACATCCTTTATACCTGATTGCGACAAATGCAATTACCGTAATAAGTCCTTGGGCCTCGACTCATGGTGAGTTCAGTAATTACGGAAGCTTCATCTAACTGTCGTCTTTCCTGGAAGAATGTAATTAGTTAATGAGTGGATTAGTTTTTACAATTTGGTTTACCGAAGAAGCAACGGCCTCGTATTTCAGAACACATCCCATTTCTGCCTCTTCTGTTAACATGCACTCCACATCATGCCGTTTCCTACTTTCCTACTGTAGAAATACTTTGACCCCAACACCAACAAAATTGTGACAATGCATTTTTGCAGGTGTTTACAATTCGTCCTGAACTTTCAAGAAAGAGCTAGTGAAACATTTATCCCCCAACCATATCTTCTCCCATTTCATCTGGCTTTGCACCTGCTTAGAGTTGGGCTGGAGCTAACAAAATGATCACATTCACCTTGGCGTGAATGACGAATGTGACTTACCCAAGGATGACTTAATATGGGTGATTCACAATAGCGCGCCACCAAGAGTTTGCAACACGTTGGCCAATCATAACACGCAAAATTTGTCGACCCTTTCCAAACGCGCATTGGGTCAAAAAATTTCGCGCCCTGTGATTGGCCAACACGTTGCAAACTCTTGGTGGCGCACTATTGTGAAACGGCCGTATTGGGTAAATTGTATTGTCTAGTCAGACATCACTTTTCATTCTCAGAATATACTGGTGCAAAGAAATTTTAAGAGTAAAAAGAAAGAAAGAAAGAAAAAAAAAATCAGCACACAAATTCTGACTTTGTGGCAAGAATTTAGTTGAGTGCCGAAGCAGAATTTACCAAGCCAACACCTTTCCATTCTCCAACATCGAGGACTCATTTCCCCCAAGTGCACTGCACTGGATGCGAGGGCAAGGACGAGTGCATGTTGTGAATGGACAGTGAAAGAGAGAGACAGAGAGAGAGACAACCGCCTGTAACCAGCCAAGCTACTGACGGTCCTTGCGTCCCCCGGCCCCTCCACAAGTCATACACGGGTGGTAAATGGGTCAAGATTGAGCAATCGCCAGGATTCCCTGGATGGCAGTGTCAACAGGGCCGGAATGCTCGGGATGATTGCTATTGGGAGGGAAGGGGGGAGGGGATGAGACGGAGTGATATCACTCT